TCCAGAAAAGAGCTTCCCACTGCGAAACAGGAAGTACAAGGCCGAGGACCGAGGGCCCAGAGGGGTAGCGTCAAGTGAGGCGCCAGCCGTGCGCACTGGTAGCCAAGGCTGCCGTGGCCCACCTGGGACACGGGAAGGTGCCTCCAGCCTAGAGAATGGGCACTGGCTCTGTGCTCTGGGCCCCTGGTCCCTTCCAACCTGCCTGAAGAGCCGACACTAAGCCCAAGACTATGTCTCAGGGTCCCTGGAAGGAAAGAGCCGCATCCCTGACCAGCCACAGCTCTCCCCCCCGAACAAGGGACCAGGCACCCTGGAGGAGTATGTGGGAGCTCAGTTCCCTGCACTGGGCAGCTGGGCACCCTTGGTATTTACATAAACAGGACCCCTCGGGAAGTAGGGGTCATCCTAGTGGTCTTCCTACTCCAGCCCATTGCCACCAGAGCCCAGAGCTGGCTGGCCGGCAGGAAGCGGGCAAGTGCCTGGCTGTTTCCACACGGCCCATTGCCATGGCATCAGCCAGGGAGGGCTGTGCCTCATGGGGTGTTGGCCCCCAGTCACCTGCAGCCCTCCCTCAAGGAGGAGCAGGGAGCGGCCCTGGGCCTGCTCCCCAGAGACGTCCCAGGATTAGCGTATCAACTTTCCCAGCTTCCCAGGTGGCTGTTGGTGGCGCCTATTGAATTCCATGCCCGCTATCCGCTCCCTGGGCTGCGTGGGTGGAGGTGATGGGGCGGCCACTTGGGGTGGGGCTGCACTCCCAAGGGGAGAGGACCGAGGAGTGCAGCGAGACCCTAAGGCGTGAGACGGCCCCCGTGACAGGTCCTGGCAGAGTCTTCCCGAGAAAACTGTCCTTTCAGACAGTCCTAGAAAGTGAGTCTCGGGCCCACTCGCACCGGCCTCGTGACCCCCACCCTCTAGCTTCTGTGTCTCTGCCAGGCCTCTCTCTGCACAGATCCTCGCTCTGACTTCTGGGCTGTGGTCACTGGGAGCCCCCACCGTGCCCTGTGGAGTTAGCTGAGAGACTCAGAACAGACCTGGGGCCATGTTTCCCTAAAGCCCCCTCCTACTGCTGCCTCCCCTCACCCCAGCTCCCGACCCCTGGAGCTAGTGCCAGGGCAGGGTGCCCCTCCCCCTCTGGGAGCCCAGACATAATCCCCACACACAATCCCCACAGCCTGGACTTTGCCCCCATTTTCCCCACTTCCCCCCTTCTCCCCAGAGGCAGAACACAGCCCTACCCAGCCTGGGCAGGGATGGCGCTGAGTTCAGGAGGCTGCCAGCCCATCTTCCCTTCTCAGTGCTGGGCCTGGAGACCACAGCCAGGCCTGAACAGACCCCAGGGCCTGCCCAGGGACTACTGCCAACAGCCTCCAACCAGGCTGGGATGGGCCTCGATGGGCTGACTCAGCAGCTGAATGACAGCTCCTGAGACAGCTGGGTGGCTCCTGCAGGGGGAGGGCGAAGAGAGACAAGGACTTTCTCCCAGGAAGGACAGGAAGCCCCTAGCCCTCCCCACCACGTGGAGGGACTTGGGAAGGAGAGAGCCAGACAGGGCCCTGGAGTGGCTGGGTGCTGTGGGGGCGCTGTCCGGGGCTTGAGCCCTGAAGCCCCCCAGAGAGCAGCGAAGTACTGGGGCAAGCAGGGCACAGCGCCCCAGTCCCCTGTGTCCCCCTGACTCATGGTGCTCGGAGCCAGCAGAGATCCAGCAAGGCTCAAAGCAGGCCCTGGAGCTCTGGTGACACATGCCACTAGGCAAGGGACCAGGGTGAAACTTGCCGAGATCAGTAAGGAAGCTCGCAGCACAGAGACCTGGAGGTGAGCATCATGGGGGCCGCGGGCACAGCCCTGCCAGCTGGGGAGCACCTGGGTCCACCTGCCTCCCTGGCCTGGCATGCTCACTGCCCCTCACCCAGGCAAGCTCTGGCAGCAAGAGGCCCTGGGCACCCGGAAGGAAGGCTGTGGTTTCATCAGCCCCAGGCCACCCCCCAGCAGAGCGGAGGCTGCAGCCAGTGCCAGGGAGAGAGCCCAGTGCTGTCCTGCCTACCCGCCTGCTCTGGGGCCTCTGCTCCAGATGGATCCTTGAGAACCAGCCCAGAGTGTGGTGGGAGGAGCACAGGTTCCTAGTCAGAGACCGGGGCTGGTGGTCTGGCTGTGTGATGTCAGGCACGGGGCTTAACATCTCTGGGCCTCAGCTTCCCTATCTCGAACATAGAACAGGAAAATACCTTGAATATTCTTTGCTTTTTGCAGCTGGAGGACAAGGAGGAGCCGGCTGAGGAGCCGGCGGCACTGGAGCTGCCCCCTCCCTTTTCTCAGGGTGAAGGGCCTGATTGCAGAGCTTAGTCTGGCTGGAGCAGAAAGCTGAGCCTGTCTGGTGGTGGCAACTGGTCAGACCTGTTCCTGCTCACCTAGGCAGCCTGGGGGAGGGCCCGCGTCATGGGGAGCTTTGTGGAGGGATTAGCTGGAAGGAAGAGAGGTCTCACTTATTCCCTGAACCAGGTTCCTAAACGCTGTTGGGGCCTCAGGCCTGCAGGAGGGACCCTAGGGTGAAGAGGAGCACTCCAGGATGAACTGAGAGTGGGCCCTGCCAGGAGCGGGAGTGGCAAGGGGCCGGGATGATCTGGGAAGAAGTGCTCTATCCACCCTGGCTCTGGGTTCCCCAGCAGCCCCTGGGAAGAGGGTGCCTCCGTGGGCCTTTGATTTTTCACTGCTCATTTGTCTTCATTGTGGTTTGGGGTGACTCTAGTGAGGAGAAGAGAACAGCCCAGGGGCCTCTGGATTTGGGTAAGCAGTGTCACCGCCCCCCCCCCCTTCCTCCTTGGCCTCTCCACACCCCCAAGCCACATCCTGAAAAACA